GAGATGCCCGGCCGTGTTAGTCTGTATCCGCAAAAAGAAGAACAGGAGGAGTTTTTCTGCCAACCTAGGAACATTAGCTATGCCAGTGGCACTCTTCTGTCAACATAGGTCTGGTGTACGCCTAAATATTAGGTCGATCTACTTTCATTGCTGAGGACTGTAAAAAATTGTGTGCCCAAAGCTCTGTAGTTATGTTGACCTAGACCCCTGTTTAGATGAAGCTAGGTTGATGAAAACATTCTTCCATCAACCTAGTTACTGCCTGTTGGATGGTGGATTAGCTACATCAATGAAAAAAAAAACCCTTCTGTCGATGTAGGAAGCGTCTACAGTACGGTGCTACAGCAGCACCGCTCCAGTGCCATAACTGCTGTGCCACTGTACTGTAGACATGCCCATAGTTGACATAGGTGTGTATACACTGGTGGTTTACACTGCAGTTTTTGTCAGCATAGCTGTCAGCTAGCAATGGTGTTTTTTTCACATCCCTGACCAACAAAACTATACCAAATAAGGGCACAACCAAAATATTCCTAAGGGGGGCCCAGAACTCTCCCTCTCCTGCCCCCACACCTAGCTGCAGGCTCTCCTCCTGCTGCTCCCCCATACCTGGTCTTGAGCTCTGTCGCGCTGCCTCTGCACTCCAACCCGTGCTCCCCCTCCCCCCCCCCACCACAGCCCTCCTCCTCCTCCTGTCCCATACCCAGCCCTGTGCTCTTTCCCACACATTGCCCCACAGCCATAGCCAGCTCCATCTTTCCCCCCGCGCCTAGCTCCGCAGTCTCCTCATCCCTCAAGCCCTTACCCAGAGAGGCAGTCAGGCTGAAGACCACCATCCCCACCAGGGGCCAGGCAGTTCTGGGAGCCCCAGATTTCATCCTGCTTCTGTGTCTGTTTTCCCAGGAAGCATTAAAAGCCCAAATCCACTTACCCCAGAACTCCTGGATACTGGGAGTTCCTGATGCCTCCTGCTCCAGGGATTGGGGGTGCCCAGTACCCATGGGCACTGACTGAAAGGACTGCAAAAGTGTGGGGGAGAGTAGGTGTATGGGGTTGCAGTGCCACTCAAATTTGGCCTGGCCATCTCTCCATCATGCCAGCTCCAGTGAGGGGTGGGGGGTGGGGGGAATGGAAGTTGGGCATCTTGCTCCCACCCTTCCTTGTTGCGCCCTTGATGCAAACCAAAGTTTGTAGAGTTGACCTGGCCTAAGTGATAGAGAGCAAGGTGATCTGAGGACTCCAGTAACTGTCCGAGTTTCCTCACTGCCATTTTCTCAAATGTCTTTCTCAAGAAGTGTAATTTAAGATAGTCAAGGAATTCGGGATAGTCAGCAAAATTGCCAATGTCAACACTTGTTTTTTTGATCAACTCTAATAACTTGCTTCAGGAATGCTGGTACCCTTCCCTCCCAAAAAGAGACATTAATTATTTTCACCAATGAATCCAGAGTTTTTCACTTGATTTCACTAGCCATGAGGAGATGGGTCCAAGCTGCAGGTACCAGTGTGAATATCCTCCCTATATTTCTAGAACCTTAGTGAACAAAACTGTCTATAATTCAGCAGGAAATGATATTTTTTGTTCTCTGTGCACATATCTGTCATCACATAAGTAGCCAAACCTAACTGACTCAGAGTAGCTTACAGTGTAACGAATGGAAGATGTCTGTTTAACTGCCCGTGAAGACTAATGTAAAATAACTGGTTGCTGGAAGATTGAAAGTGAATCTGTCCAGGAAGGAACCTTGTCATAGGAATAGAAGTTTTAATATGACTTCATCAAAGAACTGCTTCAGCAAGCGTCTCATCACCCAGATTACTTAAAAGGTTGTCTTCTAAATCCAGATGACTATGTTATCTGTTTCTACATATTGTATCCAGGAATTAAGTAAAACTGAATCTAGAGATGTGCAAACAACATGACCACAATGGTAATTAGGGGCCAGGGCACTGGGCTGGAAGTAGAGCTAGTCAGGGAATTTTCAGTCAATGTTTTTTCTATGAAAAATACAGTTTCCACAAACTACAATTTAGATTTTGCTGACGTTTTTAATTTTCTTATTTTTTTATCTAAATTAAATTGAAACATTTGACCCAAATTGATATATTTCAACATTAATCTGTGCCCATTTGAGCTATCATGGTGCCTCATGGGATTTGTAGTTTGGGTTTCTCATGACCATGTAAGTGTTGATTACCTGCATCATGCGGGGGGTCAGACCAGATGATCATAATGGTCCCTTCTGACCTTAAAGTCTATAAGTCTACATCAGGAAGCACCTAATGCAGGGTAAACAGAATAGTTCCTTTCTTTTATTAGTTGTGTGATGCCATAAACTCCCACAGGGGAAATTTAGAAACCTGAATTCAGGTTTTGACTGATAAAAATCTATTAAATAAGTTTTTAAAATTAATTTATTTGTCATTTTGAAACTAGAATATGCATTCTGTTGGTGATTTGAGATCTCATCATTTGGTTTAGATTTTAAAAAAACATTTCTATCCTCCTTTAAGACAAACTTATTGTCTGATGGGCTTCCACATTCTATCAATGAAGAAGTTCTTGAAGTTTCAGTATATATTAAGTACACTGACTATGAACCTAGAACACAAAAAATGTTACTTTCTCAAAGAGTAAAAG